TGTATAACAAGAACTCATTTATTCTTTAATTTTTAATTTTATTAATTTAATTTGAAACTTCTTTATTTTCTCATTAGACACCATCCCCTGTCTCCTCTCTTCTTGGTCTGAATGGAGTGACTGCAGCGTAACGTGTGGGAAGGGGATGCGAACCCGGCAAAGGATGCTGAAATCTGCGGCCGAGCTTGGAGACTGCAACGAGGAACTGGAACAAGCAGAGAAATGCATGCTGCCCGAGTGCCGTGAGTGCGGGGAACTCGGGGGAGGAGGAGGAGGTTCATTCTGCCCGGTACAGTCTGTGGGCCACGACGCCCCCACCAGTTCTCAGCGTTGCTTCTTAGACGCTTACAACAGCTCCTTTTTCATAGAAAAGTTATTACGGAGACAACTATTTCCTGCTTGCCTTTGGTTACGGAGCAGAATTTGACAATTTTAGAGAAATGCTGTTTGAAATTAGGAATTTTCGCTTTCTGTTTCTGCTTTAGAGGGGGGTCTACAGTTGGCGAGAGTAGTCCTTGCCTCCTGAACTCTGTAAACAAGTGACCCGCTACTCTCTTCTGATCCGTGTTTTCCATCCACGTTTCACTCCTAAACCTACCTACAGGAGAATCAGTAGTATGGGAGTTTTATCATCTGTGTATTTTTTTTTTTAATTATTGTATTTTATTACTGGTCTGTACTTTTGGCTATTGAGAGCTGGAATATGATCACGGCTTCATTGCAGCTTGCCTTACTCTATACTGCTGACCGATATTGCTTTGGGTATATGGCTTCTCCACGTTTAACACTCTAAACTTTTAGGCAACAGTTTATGCACTTCTCAATCGTGAATAAGTCAGCATTATATATAAATATTTTTACTCAAATGCAGAATGGGTGCTTGGGAGGACGGACTGAAACAAGGAAGGATTAAAATCACCCGTGTGATTGTTTTAGCTCACAGAGGCTCCATCTCTGACCTGTATCATCACCTTGTTACGGATCCACATCCTTTTGCCACCTGGAATATCTTTTTTTTTTTTTTTTTTGCAAGTTTCTAGTTGTTTTGCCATCTTTGTGAAGCACGGTAGCCTAAGGCACCGCTGGATAAGAGAGGCTTGCTTTTAGTGTCCTCTTGCCAGCTGGTTTATGAGGCTTTAGAACTAATTACATTATTTTTCACAGTAAGTATTGGCTAAAAAAGGCTTTTACGCTGTAATTTGCTAATTCAGCTTTTCAAAAATAATGTGAAATATCTTTTTGGTTAGTATTTACTGGGGCTGTGAGTTTTAAGCAGCGCTGAAGAGATGAAAACTCTTAAGACGTAACGGTGTTGGTGAATCTTGCTTAGTAAAGGCTGAGATTGCGGGGCTGTCAGATTCTTTGTGAATATAACTCCATTTTTAACAGCTTTTCCTTAGAAACTAGACATATGAGTACAGACTGGAAAATTGAGGAAGGCACAGAACTCTTTATATGTTTTCTGTAATTTTAATGATCTGGCAGCACCGCTCCTGAAGGAGAAATGGAGCAAGGTGTCAAATCAGAGTTCTGCCAGAATCGGGCTCTGAAAATTTTGCCCATGTGCCCTCACAAAACTCGCGGAGAAGACGGGAGGCGTCAGCTGCGCTCGTGTATTCAGGCAGTACAGACGGGTGGGGTACAGCCGTGCGTTTCCGCTTGGTCTGATGGTTTCTGTGTCCCACCCCCTGTGCGCAGCCATCGACTGCGAGCTGACGGAGTGGTCGCAGTGGTCGGAGTGCAACACCTCCTGCGGGAAGGGCCACAGCATCCGCACCAGAATGATCAAAACGGAGCCCCAGTTCGGGGGAACGGCCTGCCCAGAGACTGTCCAGCGCACAAAGTGCCGAGTGAGGAAATGCCTGAGGGGCCCAGGGATGGAAAAACGGCGCTGGAAAGAGGCACGGGAGAAAAGGCGAAGTGAACAAGCCAAAAAAAATCTGGAGAGCGAGCAGTACCCAGGTGAGGGGGAAGGCAGGGCGGCGCGAGGGCAGCGGCTCTGCTCCAGGAGGGACAACACACGGGGCGGGGCAGGGCAGCCCCCACAACCCCCCACCCCGAGGCACACAGCCCACAAACTCCGTGCTGATTTGATTAATTTTTATAAATTTTAAAATTTTATCTTATTTTTATTCTAGGATTTTTATTTTATATCTAATTTCTATTTTTAATGTGTTGAGTCTTAATAGAATCTCTCATTTCATTTTACTATTTTCACATTTTTCGATTTTTGCACATATTATTCACTTTTGCCACGCTTCACACATTCTTTACGTTGTTCCTATTTTTTAACATTTTTTCACTTCTCCACATTCTATAAATTTCTCCCTATTCTTTACATTCTTCGAATTCTCCGCATTCTTTCCAGTCTTCTCATTTGTAGAATTCTTCACAGTTTGAATTGTTCGCGTTCTTCAGGTTTTTTTTGCATTCCTCGAATTTTTCTATTATTTGCTTGAATTCTTTACATTCCTCATGTTCTTCGCATTATTTACACATTCCACATTCCTCAAATTCTTTGCATTCTTTATATTTTCCATTCACACATTCTTTACATTCTTCGAATTCTTTACATTCTTCAAATTCTTCGCATTCTTTACATTTTTGAATTCTTCGCATTCCTCACATTCTTTGCATTCTTCGAACTCCTCACATTATTCAAATTCCTCACATTATTCACATTCCTCGAATTCTTTGCACTCTTTGAATTCTTTACATTCTTCGAATTCTTGACATTTGCATTCTTCACATTCCTCGCATTCTTCAAATTCTTTACATTCTTCGAATTCCTCGCATTCCTCGAGTTCTTTGCATTCTTTGAATTCATTTCATTCTTCAAATTCCTTGCATTATTCAAATTCCTCACATTCCGAGTTATTTACATTCCTTGAATTCTTTGCATTCTTCGAATTCTTTACATTCTTTGAATTCTTTACATTCCTCGAATTCTTCGCATTCCTCGAATCCTTTTCATTCCTCCCATTCTTCGAATTCTTGACATTTGCATTCTTCACATTCCTCGAATTCTTCGCATAACTCAAATTCTTTTCATTCTTCAAATTCTTTACATTGTTCAAAGTCTTTGCATGCCTCACATTCTTTACATTCTTCAAATTCCTCGCATAGTTCGACTTTACGTTCCTCGAATTCTTTGCATTCTTCAAGTTCTTTACATTCCTCACATTTCTCGCATTCTTCGAATTCCTTGCATTCTTCGAATTATTTGCATTCTTCAAATTCTTTACTTTTTAATTCTTCGCATTCCCTCACATTCTTTACATTCTTCGCATTCTTGACATTCTTTGCATTCCTCGCATTCCTCACATTCTTTACCTTTTTTCACGTTCCCCAATTTTTTGATATCCAAATTCTTGACATTCTTCAAATTCTTTGCAGTCTTTGACTTCTTTGTATTCTTTGCATTTTTTTCCCCCTTCTTCAGTTTCCACACCTTTTTTACGCTTCTTTATTTTCCTGTTTATTAAGAATTTTGTCCTGGCAACTTCCAGTGTGCTATTACTACAGCACTGGATTATAATCTTCACATCCAGTTCCCTCCGAATTTTGCATCTATTTGGTTCCTGGCTCTTATACTCTATTTCCCACCTCCGTTAATTTTGCCCATCATCAGCTGCTTTTTTCAATACAGAACCCTCTTATCATCATCCACTTATCCATTTAATACCTTGTGTTATAGTTTGTTATCTAAGTATGAATTGCTGCGAAGTTGTGGTTCATATTTTCCCCTCACTTAACAATTTCTTCATTTTATCTATCTTTTCTAATTTAAGCAGTGTTTAGGTTTAATACCTTTTTTTTTTTTCAGTGTTTGATAAATGCCCTTTGATTTTACTTAACTGGGGTTTCTCACTTCCTTCTCTAATACCCTGCACTATATTAGGTTCAAAAGCTCTATATGTGCACACATGCATAGTGGTATACACTTTAAGACTTGTAGGTTAAGCTGAAAGACTAAAAACTTAATCGAGTTACTTACTTTTTCAGTTTGTAGGCTGAAACCATGGACTGCTTGGACAGAATGTTCTACACTGTGTGGAGGTGGAATTCAGGAACGCTACATGTTGGTGAAAAAGAGGTCCAAAAGTACTCAGTTTACTAGCTGCAAAGACAAAAAGGAGTTAAGAGCATGTAATGTTCATCCTTGTTAACAAAACACAAGGCTTCCAAGTGATGCACTCTGAGCTAAATGGAAAGTCAACC